TCAATTCTACACACTGGCCGTTGGTCAGCCAAAATGAAAGAATGAGCTATTATACGACAATGCATATAAAATGATGTCAATGGCCATGGATCACAGACCAACATTTGTTTTGGGCCAAAAAAAAAGAAAAAATACAAAATAAATGAATGGGAGATTTTTTCAAATTTAAACCCACACACACACAAAGTAAACCGAGAGAAAAAACGGTTTCTGTATTTTTCATGAACATTTATTTTGATTCTTTTGCAATCATAGAAAAAGACAAAAGATTGTTCAAGTGAAAAATGAAAACTTTCAAACAATAAATTATCATGAAAAAATCAATGAACAAACGTGAAAATAGGAAACGGAAACATTTTCATTTCAGGATGATGAGTGATCAAATCAAATCTGTTAAAAGATTGAGATGTCAGTAACTTGTCAAAATATTAACTCGGTGTGGATATAATAATAACATAATAAAAAATAAAAACAGTTTCAAAACAAAACAAAAAACAAAAAATAAAAATCTCAAATTGCAGAAGCATCGACAAGGCAATCAATCATTTTTGCCATTCGTTGACCTATCACCTTTACGAACAATGATCTAAATCAGATATATGAGACATACGATCGTTTTATTCTATGATGACGATCAACCGTGATTGTTGCCATCAGTTAAAAAACGAGTCTATTAAGTGACAATGTCAAAAAAGAAAACTGAACAGTTTAATTTTGACAATCAATATGGTCGATGTAGATGCAAGATTTGATCATATTCACAATTCCGTCAATCATATATTAATAGACGTCATAATAATAATAATGATCAAAAGGATATCCCTGCATTCAACAGAGAGAAAAAAAATAGACAAAGACAGAATTCAATAGTTTGACCTTTTTTTCAGGGCCCAGAGGATTTGGACAAAAGCCATAGAAACAAAAAAAAATTGAAATATTATAGAAGCGGAACGATGAACAAAAAAAATGAACAACATATATGATGCACGTGCACGAGACACGTACATCATCAATTTTAAACGTTTTAAATTTATGAATCATTCAAAGTTAGATGATTAGATCTGAGGGTTTTCTTTTCAAAAGCAAAAAAAATCAAAACTAAATCGAAAGGCTAGATTAAAAATAGTTTATGATAACTATCAAATGGGTTATATCGAATAGATTTTTTTTTTTTTGACAGCAGAAACTGAAATATGAACATTGGATAACATTTATCAACGACCACCGGCATCATTATAAAGTGTATCCGGACAAACAATGAATTTGAATGGTCAATTTTTCAATTTCAATTTTTTTTAAAGAATAAAGGGTAATACTGTTCACCAAAAATTGTCATTTTCAATTTGAATTGAATGAATGTGAAAGCAACATTTTATTCAATTCAATAAATTACAATCCCAAGCGAATCTATGATGATGATGACCATCATTGTGATGATTCATAGAGGTCAATATATATTCAGATATGAGAATGGACATGAAAAAAGTTGATAAATTTTTTTTTTGCCAATATGATGTATATTTTCATCAAATTAAAATGAAAATCAATATAAACAATATGAACAGGATTAAATTTCATCCCAAATAGTTAGTATATTGTATTATGAATTTGTTTTGAATCGAAAAAAAAAACTTTCAACAAAAGCATGGTTACGATGCGATCACACAGGATCAAAAGATTTTTGTTTTTATTTTGTTCATAGAATTTTGTTTTTACAATTAATAATTATAACTTATGAGATTATACGCAATTAAATATAATAAAAATAATTTTTTGTTCATCGTATCATAGATTTTGTTTAGATATTATTAATTAGAAACAAAATGAATGAGAGTACCAGATCATCAAGCAAAAAAAAATATCTGTTTGGGGAAAATCAAAAAGCTCTATGAACAAAAACTTCAATGATATTCAAAGATTTTTTTTTCGCCACCACTGTTATTGTAAACTGAGCATCAATATCAATTCATTCTTTAGTATAAATTAACGTAGAAGCAGAATTTGATCCGATCTCTTGTTACTATTTTTTTCTGTTTTTATAAATTCTATTGAATTTTGGTAAAAAAAAAATATTTTGCTATGCCTTTACAATGTATTTATCATCAGAATTTTTTCTTCTTTTTGATGGGTTCGTTGATCAAAATAGTATCGAACTGAATAAAAATGATAAAAGTGAGAGAAAGTGAGAAAAACAAATCAAAGTCAATTTAATTTTAGTTAACTTCTATCCTTATTATTATTATTATCATCTGATTTTTTTCATTGTTAAGAGGCGGTATTTTTTTGGGTGGACGAACACCAACAACAACAACAACAAAAAAGTTGGATGTATGGAAAAAAAAAGTTTTCATTGTATGTTTGATTATTCTGTTTGTTTATATATATTTTTTTTCATATGGCATGTAATCAATGTACCCAGAATATAATAAATTATTTAGGGACTATGAAAAAAAATATAGAAAAACAGCTTTCGACTGCTTCATATATTCGGTTGTGTATTTGATTATAATGAAGACAAAACAATAACTGCTACTACAAATAATAATAATGATGATGTTGATGAGAAAACCAGAAAGTAATGAAGAAAAAATCATCCGCTTATGATCCGACCAGACCTGGCAAACAAACAAAAAACTTGTATAAAAACAACAACAACAAAAAAATGATATGAAACATAAAGCAAAAAAAAATCTGGCAATAAATGATGCTGATGATGATGATGGAATCATAACTTTTTTTCCTATTATTATTATTATTATTATGGAATCAGATTTTTGTTTTTGATTCAACCAAACAAAACAAAACTATCATCATCGATATGAAACAAAATGGAGGGAAGTTATTCAATTATTTATCCACAAATATATGGAATATAGAAAAAAAAATTGAGATTGATCATAAAACAATATCGGAAAAATCAATATTTTAGATTCGTCTTTATTTTTGATCAAATAATCAATCCAAACAATTGAACGTTTTTTTTCTGGGTTTTATTTGTGTTTGATTGGATTAGAAAATACCGACAAAATACCATTGTGTTATTGATTTTTGATGAACATTGAACATTTGAACAAAGTATTACTTTCACATGATTTACCGGTTCGGTAATGTAACCGGTATATGTAAGTATAAATGAAGTGAGAAAATGAAAAATGAAAATCATGAGATGGAATTTTTTTTTGTCATTATTATCATCATGATCATTATCGTCGTGTAAAGACCACCATCAGCGTGCGGTAGATTTCATTCCAAATTCAGATTTTTTCTTCTCGTTTTGTAAATTGACAACAGCCAAATGATGGAAAAAAACAATAACTTTATTTGGATTCTTTTTGTTGTTTTTGCTGCTGTCCATTGTGTATGATATGAAGAAGAAAAAATCCGAAATAATTGTCGATTATATTTGAAATGATTTATAGAAATTAATCGAAAAAGAAAAAAACATTCCGAAAACGACTGATCATCATCATCATTTTCTCATTATAACAAGACAAGATTGCCTGAAATTTGAAGAAAAACTAGTTATTATTTCATATGGAAAAATAATTTCAACATAAGGATAATAATTTTGTTTTCTTTTTTTCCACTCCAAACTTTATTCCAATGAATCCATATGGGCATCATAAAATTTATTGGCTCCTTTCTTTTTCCAATTTCAAAAACAAACATGCATGCAAACGAAGAAAAAAAATTAAATTCAAAAATAAAACTAAAATATTTTGCACATCAATTTTTTCCCTTTCCTCTCTCATTTATATTCAAATTCAATAAATAATATTTCAATTATTTGAAGAAGCTAAATAAATTTAAAAACAAACAAACCAAAATAATTAAAATCAAAGGAAAAAAGTCGATGAGTGGTAATATTTTTGGCGACAAAATGCAATGAAAGAAAAGAAAAAGAGAAAAAAAAAGAATTTATTCATCGATATTAACAACACATATAAAAAAACATGGCTGTTGATTATGATAAAACAATTTATTCCATTCAATTCAGTGGATAAATATTTTTATATGGAATTTTAGTTGGATAGAATGAGTTATGTCATGTGTCATTATACATCATGACATATATCATTGATGTTCTGGTGATGGTGGACAAACAAACGAACAAAAAACATAGCTCAAATATCATCATCATCATCATCATCATTGATATCAAATAACGATGATGAAGTTTAATTATTGTTCACGCTTTGAACACGAATAAAAAATTTTGTTTTTTCATTTTAAAAAATGAAAAATTCAGTCATTTCATAATAAAATGAAATTCTTTTCCTAATTTAAACGATTTTTTCAAGCAAAAAAAAGAGGAGGCGTCCACATTGATTTATAAACCAGAAAAAAATGAAAATTTTTTTCTACAGAAATCAAACACATACGCTTTGAATATATGTATCATGTGAATATGAAAATATGTACGTTTGGTGTATGACAGGTATGAAAATTATGACAGGTGAAAAACATGCACATGAAACATAAGCAAAATTTATAAATAAATAAAAAAATAAAAATAAAAAAATTTCAAATGAAACCAAAAAAATGAATATTATTTTGTTTGCTTTTTCTTTTTTCGATTTTAAAAATAAGATAAAATTAATATGGCGTATTGCAAGATTGGCAACATTTCAAACCATCATTATGGCCATGACAAAATATTATTTTTGAAATAATTTATGCCATTGTAATTTTTTTTTGTCATCTCGTTCTGTATCATCATCGTGGTTGTTGGTTGATAACGACGATAATGATGATGGTGTTTATCATGATGAGAGGGAAAAGTCCACACTTATTAACCATATTTTGATCATAAATTATTGTCAGTATATACAACTGGAACAACAAGTATGAAAACAACAACAACAACAACAAAAAATCAAAAACTTGGATTTAAATACTTTTTAAAAAAATGTAAGCGAAATGAATTTTAATAAATGGATTTTATTTAAAATTTTTGTTTTAAATTATTATATTTTTTTTATCATGGGAAAACCACCTACCAGCATCATGTGGATGTTGTTCTGATTGTTGTTTTGGATTGTCTGAATCAATAATGATGTTATTAATATCTTTATTGTTGCCGATTTTATCGTTATCAATGTCGATATTGATATTTCCGTTAATTTTATTAAGCTCAATCTGTTCGTCTTCTTCGTCTTCGGATGTTGTTGCGTAATGTTTGGGTCGAGGCTGTTTACGACGTGACATCATCAAATTATGACCAACACTTAATGAATGTCTTTCTGTGTGTCCTGTATTATTGTCAACTACCGTTTTCTAAATGATCAATTTTAATCATCATAACCTTGATTTATATGATTGTGAATCCGAACAATCAGTGTTCAATTAATAGTATGATATACCTGGACAATAGAAAAAAAAGAGAAAAAAGAGAAATCATTTAAAATTTCATTAAAAAATATTTTTTAAATACTTAGAAAAAAATCAAATAAAAAAAATTTCATATATAATCATCAATGTTTATTGATAATATTATGACAACGAAATAAAGAAGCACACATGCAATATGTAAGATAATATCCACTAATTCAATATTCAATTTTTTCCAATATCATCAAAGAAAAAAAAACAAAATACAGAAATGGTAAAGTGAAAAATTAACACATAAGCGTGAGATTGAATATATTGGAATATAAATATTAAAAAAAACCACAATAATATTGGTTTATGATTGTTTTCCTCGTTTGTTTTTCCTATAGATGTTTGTCAAAATTGAAAAATAATAAATTTGTGGTCGGTAAATATTGAATTTTAATATTGAAAATGAATAAATTAGCAATTACTAACAGCAATCGATCCATGTCTGTGTGTGTATAAGCATATGTACCCAAGGAAAATTATCTTGTCCATGCATGGTATATTTTCGTGTTATGTTTGCATAGAATAAACCACGTGAGAACACGTGTGATAAGTACGACAGAAAACATTATTTCCATATTATTTTTGTCTATATTTTTAAATAAAATCATCATGATGATGATGATGATCAATTTAATTACCCATTGAAATGGAAATTTGAAAATTTGAAAGTGAACAAAAAAATCAATGATAAAAAAAAGTATGAAAAAACAACAACAAAAATTTCTACCGAATTTCCAGGTGTCAAAAATACCCTCAATCATCATCAAATGCTAAGGCAATAAGATGAATAACACCACTCAATTCAGCCTGGTGACAACGAAAAAACAAAAATTCCACTTTTTTCAACAAAAAATATTAAATTGAAATTATTTTTTCTTCCCTTTTTCATGTTTAATGATTGAAATTGCAAATTTTTTTCAAAAACCCACTTTCATAATTAGTGATAACTGTGACAAAAAACAAATGCAGAATTAAAATTTCTGAAAATAAAGTTAAAAATGAAAAAAAAGGGAGAGAGAGAAAAATGTCAAAATTCAGAAACCAAATGAAAAGAATAATAATGGATGAATATGAATGAATGTGAAAAAAATCAATAAAATAACACACACACACACACAAAAGTCCATTACAATTATCACATTAACTCCTAACGGAAATATAATGACAATTTTTTATAATTTAGATAATTTTTGTTGTTGTTGTTTACTTTAGCATTAATAATAAACCAGAAATTTTATCATTTGATCATTGAATGTTGATAAGAATTATTGTAAGGGAAATTAAAATCAAACATAACACTGTTTCATTTATGTCACCAGGACAAAAAAGGAAAAAAAATTAGCCATTTACTGATGACCATTCATCATGAATTTCAATTCTTTAAAATTAAGATTAAATTTCCCAAACACACACACGCATCAATAAAATCTTAGATCTAAAAAATGAAAAATTTCTCACTGTTCTAAATGAGTGTAAGTGCACGGAACCGAAAAAAAACGTATAGCAACAATGTTCTGAAACCTACGCATTCATTCATCATTCGGGAGAAAAAATGAATATTTTTCAAAAATTTTTTTTTTGATAATAAATACCTATCATATTTATAATCATTGATGTATTTTATTGAAAATATATTTCAAATATACAGGTAATATTTGATGACATGGTTCTGAACATTATTATCATGATCATACAATTATGATATAATGGACACACACATAAAAACACACATGCATAGAAAAGTTTGTTATACAATTATTATGGACAGGAAATTGTAGAAAAAAACGATGACGACGATGATGATGATGATGATCTTTATAAATATCACTTAATGTCAAACATTTTTATTTAGTATGATTTAAATTGTGTACCTATTGTGTGTAAAACAGGATTATCAATGAATCAATCATTGTAAAGTTATCATAAATGATGATAATATATTTTCCAAGAATTTCTAATTGCATATTGCACATTTATTATTATTCCAAAAAACAAACAATCATCTTTTTTGTTGTTGTTGTTATTATGGGCTAAAAAAAATATGATAAATTTTATGATATTCTATTTTTTTCCTACTTGATACAATCGACAACAATAAGGGATTATGAATGATGAGAATGAGGAAAGAAATCATTGGTGATGATCAAAACACGATTAGACAATCTCATACAGAGTAAATCACAAACATACACGTCCAATATATTATTGTTGTCAATATTGATCGATCGATCATTATTATTTGAAGTAAATTTTTGTGATTTTTTTGCATTAATAATAACCGTCATCGATTGATTATCAACAATATTCAACTCCATAAATATAAAGTTAACTGATGATGAATTTATTGAAGAAAAAAGATAGATGGATGGATAGGAATTTATGCCGAAAATATATAAAAAAAATTATAATAACCATCTAATGATCTGTCATATTAAATCGTTTTATGAAAGATGATTACAACGATGGCGAGTGGCTAAAAACAAATAAATAAATCCACCAATAAATAAAACAATCTCAATCATCATGATAAGAATAACAAGTGAAAGAAAGAGAAAAATGTAATAAGAATGAACTAAATGATGGATGCATAAACCATAAACAAATATGTAAAATGCCAACATATGAATGTATGAATCAATCGATGAGGATCAATTGTTGATTCGATCCAAACTGATTGTAGAGTGCAGTATAATACAGGAAGAAAATGATGATGATGATGAAAAGAGAAGGAACAAATAAAAATGTTTTTAATACGGTGGTCATGTTTGATTATTTTTTTCTTTCTTCATATATGATCATAATTTCTATCTTTCAATCTTGATGTTATGAATATAAATATCATTCAATTCAGCATGTATGATGAGGATGAACAAAATTGAAAAAAAGCCAAACCATAACCGTCTATATTAATATTCATAATGATGAATATTATTTTTGTTCCTTCTTGGAAGATGGAAGATTAAGCAAGCCAACAAGTGATTAAAGTCAGCGAATGGAAAAGACAACAACAACAACAACAAAAATTCGAAATGAAGAACTGACTAGCAATAAGCTAATTTCAAGAGACATTTTTTTCTCAATGGTCTATGGTTATTTTTTTTGGCCATCATTTCTTGTCGTGTCTCGTATTTTCAATAATAATAATAATAATTTGTTCAAGTTGTCTTAGGGTTGATTATTCAAAATAGCTAAGAATAGATTCATGTATTTATTCGATTAGATTCAAATTGATTGATGTAATGTATAAATACATATAAAACAAGAGAGAAAAATGAAATTCATAACTGCGAACAAAAATTTCAATTGACAAGATTAAGGGAGAAACCAGAAAAAAAGTCATCATCTTTTACATTTACATTATAACATGATTGCGAAATGATTTTTTTTTATGATGGTGAATTATTATTATCACACATTCTTAGATTATTATTGACATTGAAAAACATAAATGATAATAATTCAGAAGAAAGATGGTAATAACTACTATTCTTGGCGACGATTGCCGCGACATTTTATTTATTTATTTCATTTTTTTTTTGACAACAAAAATATGGCCCTCGAATTTTTGTTTTTCGGTGTGTTCATCATTATTTTATTTTTATAAAAAAGTGAAATTTGACAATTCGGCCACACACAAACAAAGTTAGAATGAGAGTTTGAAAACAAAAAATGAATACACCGGACATGATGGACCGACCTGCTATCATCATAAACAAAACAAAAAAATCAGGATTGTTTGAACAAAAATCAAAATCATAACAACAATAATAAAATACAAAATCCATGGGTCATATATATTTATTTCTCGTTGAAATTTATTTTATTTTTTTTCATTTTCAACAAAAAAAAAACAATCACAATCAAGTTATCATTTTTCGTTTTTTACGTTTGTCAGTTTTCATTTTATAAATATAAATACCAGAAGCTATGTATATTTGTTTATTGATATGGTTGGCTATGAACCATTTTTTTCCGATATGGTTCAAGGGAACATATATTTTTTCAGCTAAATTTTTTTTGTTTTCTTAATGGCCTAGCTAAATGTTTGAACAAAATGGTCATTTACATATATTTGTTTGATAAGATGATGATGATGATGATGATGAAGAGAGGGAGAGCTAGAATATTGCCGGTAAAAATTCAGAGCCATAAACAATTAGTGAGTGTTCGTGTCCTTCGAAAACGTTTTAGTATGGTCAAAACAAAAAGAAGAAGAAATAGATACCAAAATATATGAGTAGATTAGACCATAAATTGTCAATGTCATAGATATCGACATAGATTCCAGTTTGTTGTATTCGACACTTAAGCAATTGTGATAACAATTTAAATGACAAATCACTTGCCGTCAAAAAAAAACTAAAAAATTAAACGAATGACATGTCATAAATGATAAAATATGTAAACAATAAAAATTATTGAATCAACAGAAAGTAGAAATGGGTGAATGTAGAGAATCATGTAAATTGGGTGCAATAAACAACAATTGAATTAAATAATTTGTAAAAATGTTATAATTTTGCTTAGAAAATATGACAAATATGAAGATTTAATGAAAATTTTGAAGAAAAAGATGTAAAAAAATCTACCTGTGTGTGTAAGTTGAGGAAAAAAAGAACAAAACTACAAAATTACAATAACATAAACACCTGCGACAAAAAAAAATTTCAATTTTTATGACCAACAAAAAATTTGGAGAAATTTTGAATTCTATGACATTCTGTCAACAAACGATTGATGAATTATTGAATTAAAATATAACCCATATTGAATTATAGACGTAATAAAGATGAAGTTTTTCCAAAATGACCGATAATTCAATGATGGAGCCATATGATAAAAAAATTGTCGACATGATGTCGAAGCAACAACAAAAATTAAGGTATACATTCCGTTCTAACCGATCAAGGGCA